GCCCTGGCTTTTGGTTTTCGGCTGTAGGGGCTCCAGCAGGGGTGCTAGGATGGAAGGAGAGAAGCGAGGTACTTCTTCCCGCGGCTCTCTATGCGGTTGATTCTTTTCTGCGGCTGCCTGTCTCCATGGTGACGGGCCCTGTCAGGCAGTCCCTCCACGGCTCAGTCCCTCACTGAGTTCTGGAGACAACCTTCCCCGCTCTGTGTCCTTGGTCTTGGTCCCCGGCCAGAATGGCTCTCACTGTTGCTGGTCTCCGTGTGCCTCAGTATCCCCCTTGTTCCCTTAGCCAACTGCCCAGCTGTCTAACTATCATCCCTTCAATGTCTCTTAAAATTTTTTTTTTTTTAAAGAGAGAGTAGAAGGGACGGGTAGAGACAGAGAAACATCGATATGAGAGAGACACATCGATTGGTTACCTCCCGTAGGCGCGCTGACCAGGGCTGGGGATCGAGCCTGCAACCGAGGTACGTGCCCTTGACTGGAATCGAACCCACTTGACTGGAATCGACCCTTCAGGCCACGGGCCGATGCTCTAAACACTGAGAAAAACAGGCTAGGGCAACAAGGTCTCTTCATCTGAAACCCTGGGGCAGTACTTTCTGCCAGGACCCTGTCTCACGTGGTGACGAGGAGCGCAGCTTTCTCTCTGCTGGGCCTGCGTGGATGGGCTCCTGGTCCCAGGGCTATAGCAGCAGGAGCCAAACCAGCCAACCAACCAACCAACAACCACACTGGACTTAGACAAAGCAGAGGCCACAGTCACCGGCCACGGCCACATGGCTCCCAGGGGACCCCGACCCCTCAGGGGGCTCTGGCTGGCTCCACATACGAAGCGTTCTCTAAGGGCAGAAAACTCCCTTTGAATGATCCACCTGTGTCCAGTGAAGGCCCCAATATGAGCCCGGAGAGAAGTCCCTGGACACACGGGACTGGCACTGACCCTGCAGAGTCAGCCGGCCATCACGTGTGTCACCTGCAGGGGTGCCGGGTGAGGTCTGTGTGCTCAGCTCCCTTGTCAGCGAGCAGTTAGTGAGGAGGCAGGGCCTTGGAGGTGGGGCTAATAAAACCCTGTCTCCATCCCCCATGCTGGACCCTCGGGGATGTTCCTCGCCCGGGCCGGGGAGCAGGGCTGACCCTCCTTGAGCACCTCCTCAGTGGACAGGGTCAAACCGGGATGCCGTCCTCGGGAATCCCATTTTGAAGGCAGGGCTCAGAGAGGTGGAGTGAGTCCTTCTGGGCCACACAGCAGCAGGGGGTGGAACCAGGGTTTGAGTTCAGGCTGCCTTTCACCCCACAGAGTGCTTTGCCCATCACCGTCCCCCTTCGTCTCTCTCCCCCTCCTCCCCGTAGTAATAATAAAAATCCATTCTCCTTACTGGGCTTTCATAGGTACCATCTCATTCAGATTTCACACTATCCCCAGGGAGTAGGAATTCTCAGACCCATTTCACAGAGGAAGAAACTGAGGCCCAAGACAAACAACTCGGAAGCGGTAGATCTGAGACCCTCACCTAGATCTTTTTCTTTCTTTTTTCTTTTTTTAAATATATTTCTCTATTGATTTCAGAGAGGAAGGAAGAGGGAGAGATAGAAACACCAATGATGAAGAGAATCATTGATCGGCTGCCTCTTGCACGCCCCCCCACTGGGGATTGAGCCCGCAACCCAGGCATGGGCCCTTGGCTGGAATCCAGCCTGGGACCCTTCAGGCCGCAGGCCAATGCTCTATCCACTGAGCCAAACTGACTGGGGCTAGATCTTTTTCTAAAGGGACTTTTCCATGTGAAAAGCCATGTTTATGTGTGTCTTTTGCCTTTGGTGTTAGAAATTTGGCCATCCACGTGGTGCCCAGGGGCAGGATTTTACCAACGCCTGCTCCTCTCCCTCCTGCTGCGGGAGAAGAAGTCAGGTGGCAGGAGTGACTGTACCCACCGCTGGAAGCAGCATTTTCCAGGGCTGCACCCCTGCAGGTGCCGGCAGGGCCACAGCTGGGGTCGGGCTTATTTCAGCCCTGTCCCCTGCTGCCACACACGGCAGGCATGTCTCTTGGTTGCTCTCGCCGTTTCCAGAGAGACCGGGCGCTGCGGGGTGGATTTGCTTGTGACAGACACGCAGAGGGTTGTAGATGCTGGAAGTGATTTTCGTGCTCAGAAATTCCTAGCGAGCAGCCCGAGGACTTGCGTCATGACTGCCTTGAGGGGAGAGAGGATGTGCGCTGCAGCTCAGATGTGGGTGCTGGGCACGCAGAGGCCAGGTGCGTGTCCTGGTCCCTGTCACCAGGGTCTGGGACGATGCCCATCCCTGGGCCCCGCCTGTGAGAGGCTTTTGGGGGCAGCTCCAAATGGACTCCTGGGTGAGGGCGGGCCCTCGGTGCCCTCGGTCAGGCAGCAAACACTTACCGAGCACCAACTGTGGCAGGCGCTGACTACACCCACACGAGGAGCAAACGCATCCCAGTGGGGCAGATGGATGCTGCATTTGATAAAAACATAGTTTCAAATGGAGATGGCCCTAGGCAGTTTGGCTCAGTGGATAGAGCATAGCCCTGCCGACTAAAGGGTCCCGGGTTCGATTCCAGTCAAGGGCACGTACCTCGGTTGCAGGCTCCTCCCTGGCCCAGGCCCTGGTTGGGACACATGCAGGAGGCAACCAATCGATGTGTTTCTCTCACATCGATATTTCTCTCTGTCTTTCCCTCTCTCTTCTACTCTCTCTAAAAATCAATGGAGAAATATTGCTGGGTGAGGATTAAAAAAATTGTAATATGTACTTTGATGGAGGGTGCAGGACGCTGTGAGTGGGCGGGGGAGGGGGGGGGCTTGGAGGGGTCTGAGGGTGGCAGTCCAGGGAGAGCCCTGCCTCTCTCTTTGCTGCAGTGGGACCTCAGGCAAACTCCCCCTGCTCCCTTTCTCTTCGTGGCTCCCACGTGTGGCTGGGGTTTGGCTTTGGAGGGGCTGCCAGATCTGCTT